TGCCTCACTCCCTCCCTCACCATGAGGGCCTCAATCTGCCTTCCCCTCCCCAGTATGCCCCCACCCCTTCATAGACTTACCTACAGGGAGCTGCTCTCTATGCTGCCTGGCAATATCCCCAGCCATGTGCATGTGTGCAGGCATGCACATGCACATGGCACCCCCTGTGTCCTGCTTCTGGCAGCCCCAAGCAGCCCTTTGCAGGCTGGAATGCAAAGTACCGTGCACTAGAGCAAATTACTGTTCAGTAAGCATCACTGTCTACATGTGCAGACCCTTACTGCAGAGTAATTTGCTCTATTTGGTACTTAATTTGCTACCTGCATTTGCAGGAGGCAGGTAGTAAATTAACTGCTGAGTAGTTACTGTGCAGTAAGGCACGTGTAGATGGCCAACTGGGAGCAAATTTGCTAATGGTCAGCTAGATAGCAGGGGCGGGAGATTGCTCCCTGCCCCTGTCAGCTCACTGCTTCTGGGGAAGGTTCTGGAGGTGAAGGCTGACTGGAGAGAATGTCCCCCTGCAGCTCTTTTCAAGCCCGCTGCCCCCAGTCAGGGAGCCAGGGGCAGGAACTGCTAGGGCAGGGGGACATTGTCCCAGCCTGGGCTCTGCCATTGAAGCCTTCCCCAGCAGCCAGCAGCTCCTGGGGGCAAGGGGCAATCTCCTGGCCCCCTGCTCCCTACCAGCCACTAGCCTAGTACCCAGGGGAAGCCTGGAACTTGCCCTGGCTGCTGCAGCGGGGCAGAGCATGGTGGGAGAATATCTGCTCCCAAATGTGTAGATGCCTGCCTAGGGTGGGTTTACTCCAAAATAAATTACTCTGGAGTAAACCCATGTAGCAACATTTTATTTGTAGACGTACCCAGTGATCATTAGTTATCAACAGAGGGGCAACGTAACTTTAAGGGACTTCAGCAAGGCCTCCCTTAAATCCTCCCTGCACCAAGTTTCATGCCTTTAAACAAATTTTGGGCCTTGGCACCAATCCTCTTTATAAAAGCAGAGTCTGACAAAGTGTTTGAATCTCTGAATGAAAAATTGGACTGCTTTAAACATAAATTTGGCATCAAACATAGGAAACCTAATAGACTGAACACACTATATCCTTGCCTCTTCCACTGTCAGTTCCAAGTCTCTCTCACATAAGGACTTGAAAATAAGTGCCAGGAGGCACCACTGCTTTGTACAGAGAGGTGCCAAATCTCAGTCTGGACTCTCCTTGGACTCAGCTCACAGAATTCATATATTACTGATGTCCATTTCACAGGAAAAGCAGTCATTTATAATAAGCAAAAACAGTAAGCCTCACCCAATTAGTCTTTTAATTGCTATCAGGAAACATAACAGAAAACACAAGAGAAGAGACAGAGACAACACCTCATTTTAGGTCCACTGCTAAAAAATTGGAGGAAAAAGGGTCCTTGTCCAGTGCTTGGGGGTTGCCCATGATCGGAGACAACAGCAACCTACGAAAGAGAGGAGGAAAGTAGCAGAACTGCTTAGGATGTCCAAGAGTTTGACTGCCAGCAACAAGGAATAAAACAAACAGATGATGGAATGCAAAAGAGAGACCTCCCTAAACTGAATGAAAGTAAGTTCCAATCCAGTCTCAAGGAGATAGAAATAAATTGGGGAATTAGAGAGGAGCAACACATGCTTTCCTTTCCTTTTTTCACTCCAGCCTAAATGAAGGACCCTGAGCAGTATCAATATTCTTAGCAGTGTGAAGGCAGTCATTACCATCTATTCCACACAACCTCTTACTAGTTTCCTAGATCCTAAGACTTCTTGGATGTGAGCGTATGCTCCACCCATAAGAAAAAAAGAGAAAATACATCAGGAATTAAAAATTCGTACCAGCTGGAAAAGCAGTAGATGGGAACCATCAACAGCCTATTGGAAAATGGTTCTCCCAAGGCTGCAGCTGTTTGGCTCTACCAAATTTAAAATCCCAGCTAGGGAAAAATAGTTCCAATAAGTGGGTAACCCTTCAATGGAAAGACTAGTATTCTTGAGGTTATGTCTGCTTTTAAGATGTGTGGATGCCTGTTTTGAAAAAGTAATAATCCTTGCCATATAAAATTAGGTTTTCATACTTCTTATAGCCTTTGTCTTCCTCTGCCTGAAACATTTTAAGCAAGCAAGCCAAAAAATTCAGTCTTCTCCATGTACATGGCAAAAAAACCTAATTTAATTACTTGAAAGGGTCAGAATCAAGTTATTTCAGTAATAGCTATAAATGAAAAATAGCTTAAACAAAATGAAAAATAGCTTAAATTTTTCTAATTTATTCTAAAGATAAGCAAATTGTTTTGTTATATTTTGAGGGAATATTTGGGATTTAAACACATACAAAATGCAAAGAAGGTCCATTCCAGACCTCCAAAAAGCTCTACATACTATCTCTGTTCAAATGAGAGAAACTTCAGTCCCAAAAAATTGCCCAAAATGTGAATAACTGAAATATTACAATTGTATGGTAGTGAAATACAGTACATAACACACACTAACTAGCATTCTAAGAGAAGGAATCAAAAAGTAGTTTGTTTGGGTTTTTTTTACATATATACAATACTACCACGTCTACCGTCTGGGAAATGTCTTGTTTCAGACCAAAATGGCAAGTCAACTCCAGGTTAAAAATGTATCTTGACCTTAACATTTAGATTTAATGGAGACTGGCTATCTCAGGGCCCCAGCTATTTATCTCATTTTACATCTCAACAGACTGTTCAAATCAAATTCAAGCTGGTATTAAATCTGTAATAATTTTAGTGATCTCAGTCTACCTCCAAGAATATCAGAGGTGGCAATAAGGGCTTGATTCAGAGCCTACCATTTCTCACCATTGACTTTAACAGACTTTGGATCAGGCCCTAATTGACACTTTTCTTAGATTTTCAGCAGACAAAGCCAAAGACTGAAAGGCCATGGAGAATTAGCAACCCTTTCCTCAGTATTTACACACACTGATTTGGCAGGGTGGAAAACCTTGCACTATTGCCTTCTTTCAATGACTGTTGTTAAACCGAGGATTTCAGTCTCCCAGACTTTCAATCTTGTGCTTTTTGTGAGCCCTACATTCACAGAAAATGAATGTTTGTCTATACTTTTATAGAAAGCATTCCGAAAGCAACTTTGAAGAAACCTTTGATACTTCCTCCCTTGCTTAATAACATCCCTTTGGCCAAGAGGGTGAAATGAAGAATTCAGATTGGGAGCTGGTGAAATGTTCAGATCAAAAAGGATGAATTTATCTTAACAGTAATCTGTATCTGCTATGTTCGACAGTGTGTTGCAGTGTGCCCTGCTGTGTGCTGTACAGCACTTATAGAGCAATGATAAACCTTTCTAGATAGTGCCTACCACATGGTATTTACCAGAATATAGATTGCTGAGAGATATAGTTAAAAGTTGTTCACAAATAAGAGATCAGGGAGACTGACCATTTGTAAGAAGACGTTATGCTTTCTTTTTCTTTCTTTTTTTTTGCCTGCAGCAACTCTAAGTGCAATAAAATATCAGAGAGTAGGAAAGAATTGCTATAGCAACAAAGTATGTTCTCCTAATGGAGACACTGTATTGCAAGCAAGAGCCACTAGAACTTTACAGGGAAAGGAAAGAAAAACATCCATCATAAAAGCAGAAAAGGGAGAGCATTTAAAAAATTAATAACTTTTTGTTCTGTGATTTACATTTCATCTATGTTTTTCACATTTTCTATTTTTATCCTATAATATCAACCTTTTCACATAGAAAATTTGACGAGGTCAAAAAATACAGTGTGAATCATTTCTTAATATTAATGTAAAAACAATATATCATTTACATCTACATAGAACTATCATTGTTACTAATATTAATAGTAATGAAATTGCAGCATGACCTAAAGCCCAGAATTGACAATAGGGCTCCATTATGACTGGCACTAGACAAACATATATAATTTTTGCCCCAGAAAAGCTTATTTTTTTAAAAAGCAAGACAGGAAAACAGAGTCACTGGCCATGTCTACATGAGATGCTGACTGTGCAGTTGTTACTGTGTAGTCAGTTAGCACTTGCATACACGAGTACTAAATGACTATGCAGTAACCAGTTACTGCACAATAGCTTCCACGAATGGCTTTTTGGTGACACTGACTGCTCAGTAGCTCATTACTACTATGTAGTATCATCACATCATGCATTCTGCTCTGCGACACTACTTCACAGTAGCAACATGCTACTGCACAGTCAGGGTCCTGTGTAGACATGGCCGCTGAGAAGTGAAGTGACTCTGGCCATGCAGTGTGGATACCTTTATTAGTATTATATATAAGTTGTTACCTTAGTTGAGGGACTGCAGGAGGGAACCAGAGGGAAGGGCAGAGGAGTAGGCTTAGAAAGCTCTCTGAATAAACAAGCTTTATCGTTCTATAAATTTAACTCCTTGGTCTTTTGAGAATAACACAGCATGGCACTGGCAGAGTGTAGTAAAGTACCCAGGTCTTCTGCCTGTTCTACTCACTAAACCCTCTTTTTTTTTCCTACCATAATTTCAAAGTTTTTTAGAAATATTAAGCTTCACTGGATTAAGTCTATATTGTCACAGACCTTTTTTGATGCTTGTCTACACAGGGAAGTTACTTCACAGTAAACCTGGGTGTGAACGTTACACCACAGTAGTAAATCACACTAACTCACTTTGTAGAGAAGCTGCCAGCTACACAAAGGGAGTAAGGAGTCCTATCGGCCTGGTCCCTCAAGCTGCAAATAAGTGGATAATTCAGGTATTGGAAAGTATGAGGAGTTTTCTGTATTCCTAACTTGATAACCAGCATAGCTACTGAGGCACAGATGAGAAGGAAGGGCTGGTGAAAGATTATCACAATTTGTTCTCAGGTGAGTAAACTGAGAGTTCCATTAAAGTTATGGACAGGTTATGTTGATACCACTTCCATAGCACTCTTGAGAGTGCCTCTCAAGCACCTCTTGCCCACCTGCTCTGGCTCTACCTGTGCCAAACCTGGAAGAGGAAGTGAAGTAGCTCTGAGGGGTCCCCTTGTCACTTCTACTGAGATCTTGATCTCACGAGGGCTCAGAGCAGCTTCACCTACCCATTTCCAGGTGTGACAAGTATCAAACATAGGCAAGTGAAGTGCATCAGACAGCAGAGCTCCCAAGAGTGCTGCAGAAATGGTATAGACATACTCCAAGCATCAGTGACAAATAGCTAATTCCCAGTGCCCTAATCCTATTACCAGACACATTACTCTCCACCAAGTACTATCAGAGTATAGCACTGTAGTACCAGAATTGAAGGGCTTTCTGAAAAGACTCCCTCTTCATCGGAAAACTACTTCCTGACATCTCTTTGCAATGAAGCTCATTATATGTTGTCCTATTTATAACTCTCATATCTTCATAACAATCAAATTCCTCCGAGGTATAAAAAAACTGGGATTTGAATACAGCTGTATATTATAGTTTGATGTTGCTACACTGGCAACAATTTATAATAAAAACCAAAAGTAGCAGCATGGGTCAGTCAGTGAGGCATATTCTGTAGTGAAGGAAATTAGGCAGGTTACATTTTCCCTATCAATAAGTAGGGCATTTATTACTGTATTATTAAAATACAGGGGGAAAATGATTTTAGACTCTGGCTACTTGGACTAGATTAGATTAGACTAGACTTACTAGGCAATGTAATTTATATGACTTAGGTTTTTCACTGGTATTCTAAAGACTAGGGGCAGACAATACACATAAACCAGTTTAAGTGATCAGAAACTGGTTTAAACCTGTAACAGAACAGATGTTCAGTGCACATAAACCAGTTTGAAAATGTCTGAAAGTGGTTCGAGAAAAACTTGGTTGAATGTAATACCAGACTTAACTGATTTGGCTCAAACTGCTTTATGCAGTGTCTGTCCCAGACCCCTTGCTGGTTTAAGACAAACCAGACACCCACAGCATCCCAGCATGCTCTCTAGGCTGGGCAGGGCTCTCTGCTCCAGCTGCAGGGCTGGCCCCTGCCCTCTGCTCCCTGGCTGCAGCTCCAGAGACTTGCAGGCTGCTCCTCCCCTCCCCCTCAACATTGCCTGCTAAGCCGGAATTCCCCCCTGCCTTCTGCCTTGCTGAGGAGGTGTCTGCATATTAGCTAGCAGACCACATGTTGGCTACAGTCTGTGCTGAATCAACAGATATAATCAACAGGAACAACACCTAGCTGGTAATGTCCCTCTGTTGTTTTCCTAATGGGGTGACAAACACTATTATCAATTCCCTGCTGGGCTTATCAGAGCATCCTGCTGGGGCCTGGCCATGCCCCACCTCAGCTCAGTTCTGTGAAAAGGGGAGGGAGGGCTGCTCTAGCACCCCCTAGCTTCTATCCTGAACCACTGCAAGCATATGCCTGCATTTCTGGGATGTCTGTCTAGTTACAAAACTGATTTAGCCTAGCTAGGTTAGACTAACCTGCAATGATTGAAACAATTCAAGCTCAGACTTCTTGAAAGTCTGTCTCTAGCCTAAGGTACAAGAGACATAGATAGCCATGTTCATCTGAAGGAAAGTAGAAGATGCAGTAGGTTTGCACTCTATAGACTAACCAAAGTACATATATGTATTACAAGCTTTCCTAAGCTGAAGCTCACTTCATTAGATGCTGTGAAAGGACATGCAGAAGAGAATATGGAGAAGGGAAAAATTGAATACAAAAGACAAGGGAGGGGGAGAAAGTGAAAAGGGGGAAGAGGGGAGGCGGAGAGCAATGCCAAACAAGTAGTAAATGCATTGGAACAAGAATCACAAAAGCTACTTCAGATAATAGGATAAGAATCCACAGTCCCCATTCAAACCATGCTTAACACAATTCAGTCTGTGGATGATTTTTCTTGTTCTACAATTTCCTGTTCAAATTAGTTTTTGAAAGTTTGCTGCCCAGGAACAGCCACCCTCAGGTTAGTGATAGACTGTCCAGGGAGCTTAAAATGTTCTGCTACAGGCTTGCGTGGAAGAATGCCTTAGGTATCTACATTCTGTATTAGATCTAGCCCAGTATTAGAAAGCTGAATAAACACTGTAGAATCCTCCTGAATGTCCAACAGTTAGGCATCCATCTTTGAATTATTTCTTGTTACAGTGGACATACTTTATCTCAGGTTGATGTGGTTAGAGCTCCCTTCTTCTCAAGACAGGTCTATACCACCATAAATCCTGGCATAGGATAGATCAGAGGTTCCCAATTTGTGGTACACATACCACCAGTGGCACGCAGGCAACCTGTCGGTGGTACATGTTAACAGATGTATTATGATTACTTTATATGACAAAAATTTGCTGGCAGTACTTAAGATTGTACTGTTTTAAATTAGTGGTGTGTAATCTGTCAGATTGCACACCACTAATTTAATTTGGAAACTGCTGAGATAGATCATGATAGGGACCACTCTTACACATAACAGACCGTGTGTTAGGTAAGCAGAGCTGGAACATACTATGTTCCAGCCACATGCCTCCTGAATTTTTCTTTCCTCTGGCTTGTCACTTATGCTTGGACCAAAGCATCTCTAGCTGCTCATGACCTAGGTGGGTTAACTGTGGCCCTGCTGTAAGCTTCTTTATAACAAAGGATCTATTTTTGGACAACTCTGGAAGCCATTCAGTTGTAGCAAAGGGATTGGAAGTCAGTGGAAAAAAGCATCAGTCCTTTGCTTTTTCTGATTACTGAAAGTGCTAAACAAACCATGCAGATTCTTACATTCCAAACTTTCATCTGGATAGATGTGTATATAACTAGTGTGTATTCTAATGGCAGCTTTCAGTGATAATCTATTATTTTAAGGTTCTCAAGGTACTCATAGCAAGAAAAAAAAGACTCAAACCCTTTGTAGCTATTAATCAGTGTTAAATTACCATTAAGTATGTTTCCTGCATACTAAAATGCTATCCTGCCACAATTAGTCCTCAGCAAAGGTTTTTCTGTTCTTTCTCTTCAAACAAAAATTGCTTCTTGTGAAAAAGCTGTTGTACATCATGCTTTTTGTGAAGCAACGAAACACAAATAAGTTTTAAAAACACAGTATCTCCTACTGGAAAACGTATAAAATAAAATAATAAAGATTGTAATAAAGACTGCTCCTCAACAGATTTATCTCATCCAGATCAAATGTATAAGAATAGAAGAGACAGTAACTGTGATAAAACTACCACAATTACAGTACTTAAATTTCTTTTCCATACCATAGCACAGTTTACAGCCAGTAGACCAACTCTTCCTCGAGAAAGCAGCTCAGAATTTTCATCATGGATAAGCACATTTTGTCATTGGACATGTTTCTAAGTGTGCTACAGTATTTTGTTTCACATTGCTCAATGGTCCTCAAAGCAGGCATTTCCACTTTTATACTGATGTACTCAAATAGTATATCTGGGCTGAAAATAAACCATGCACCATATTAACAATGTCTGGCTTACAAGTCATTAAGGGCCAGATTGTGAACTCATTATTCTAACTGATGAGTAGTTTCTTTCAGGAGTAATTTCACAACAGCCAATTCATTCATATATGATTGAAAGGTTACTTGGGGAGTAACTGCTCATCCATGTGGAAAAAAATGAGTTTATAATCTGCTTTATGCTTTTGGTTGATCTATATTACTTTATTTATCTGGGTTTATTTCTTTCAACTTGTGTATATTTGCATATGTTGACAGTATGTATATCACTTGCATATGTTAAAAAGCAAATACATTTATAAATAGTATACAAATTCATAAGAGTATCTACGTGTATAGACCAATGTAACAACTGTGTTGATATCTAAGGATATTGCAATAAAATGTTACTGCTGCATAATCCTGTAGCAACAAAACTATAGCAAAAGAACTATAACTTTAATTCTGTTTCATTCAAGGGTAAAGTTAGAATGATTTAGCTCACTTGTATCACTACACAAACATCTAACACTTACAGCAATAGATCTGATGTACATTCCCAAATGTCAGCTTGTCCTCCCCTTTTAGAGCCATTTATAGGTACATTGGTCTATACCTAAGACTCATTTTATTATTTTGAAAATGCATGCCTATATACTTTTCTTGCAGCATGGTCACATAGTTATGGGTCTCTGGATGAGACTACCAGAGGTGAAATCATAGACTTTCATCCTGCAACCTTTGTATATGTGACACAATCCTCACTGGGAATACCTAGATACCTGAAGTCCAGCACTTGTGTAAGTGTTCAAGACCAAGGCAGGGTGGATTTGTACCTTATAGACTGACTAAATCAAAGATGCATGGCATAAGATTTTGTAAGAGGGCTTACTTCATCATATGCTATCTAAACCAAAACCTTGACGTTTTGCTGAAAACTGTTGGGATTTTGAGTGTATGGGGAAGAGTTAGTCTGGAAACACAGATGTGAAATTTTAGTAAGAGAGATGATCTGTTTTGAAGAGATGGACAAGAGGTAAAAGTCATAATGAGGCCAAGTACAAACATTACACTTTTACTAGTATAAGTGATCAGAAACAAGTCCATACCCATAACAGAACAGAAGTTCAGCACACACAAACTGGTTTTAAAATGGCAGAACTCAGTCTGAGATTTCCGCCCCCCACACACACACACCAAAGGGCAAACATCTTTTCTGATTGCTACTGACCATCACCTATAGAAAACTGTGTAACTTTGATTCCACTTTGGGCTTTTTCAAGGTCTAAGAGACTATGTGATAGTCACAATGGTTAATTCTTGTTGAGAACTGCATGTAGAGCTGTGCTTCTCAACCAGGATGCCATGGCACCCTGGAATGCCTTGAGATCCTTTCAAGGCTGCCATGGGGCACCATACAGTGTTAGTATTGTTGGGAGTGCAAACATGACTCACAAGATGAACTCAGTGTTTTCAAATAGGAATCCATTTTGTTAAAAATATTCTGACCCACTGTAGTCTTTCTGAACAATTTGCAACAGAAGAATTGCTGTTATTTTTCTGCTGAAAATGAGTGAAAAGTAGGAGCTGGCATTTTCTGAGGGGTCTACTCTATTGTGTCTACTGAGGGGTGCCTCAAGGCTAAAAAGGTTGAGAACTATTGATGCAGACATACACTAAAGAAACAATTTGCAATGCACAGAAGCAAACTAGTTTCTTAGTGGTCCAAAAAAACTGAGGAATGATGCTGCACATCCTTGAGTGCCACCCATTTCCACTTTATCTATTAGCAAACTACTACATGTACAAATAAAAGAGAATGAGAAAGTATATAGGAGCCATTTTGTAAATAATAGTTTAGCACAGATCTTTTTAGCCTAATACTGCGGTGCACTTATTTTGTTGTATTCAAATGGCATTGCGTCAAGCACTTTGTATAGATTTATTTAGTGTGTAGTACTTAAATCAATATAAATAAATAAAATATATAGGTATGGGACACTCTTATAAACTGTCCTCATTTCATATGAAAGCCTCTTTAAAATGCAAGATAGGCTCTTAGGGATTTCTCATAAAGGCAGAACCATGACTAAAGAAATACCTGAGCCAAATTCTGTTTGCTGACTTGGGTTAAACTCCTATGAACATTGGCAACGGATATTTTGTGCCAAAATGGTACTTGTTTTTTGTTTATAGCAAGTATTGAGAACTAAATAATCATTTGGTTTTAGTACTAATGATTAAGTAGTTGTAAGAGTAAAATGATTAGCAAACTTTTTTTCTGATCCAAGTGGAATATTTTAATGCATTGTTTTTGTTCCATGTATTGACAATGAAAGGGCTATAAGAAAAGGCTAAGTTAAGATAATTAGAAGAAAATTATTTGATATATTTTGACATTTGCCATCCACGAAATCCACTGGTAAGTAAACAAAGATAGTTTATAGACAAAGCCAAAGAACAAATGTATTTCAATTGCAGAAGAAAGTGTAACTTTAGGTTATAGTTTATGGCTAAGCATTCAAGAAAAAATATTTACATGTTCATATGTGTATATGTGTGCACTGTTAAATTCTAAATTTTCTTGATTATTCTTGGCTATACATAGCTAAACGAACTGTACCTGGGCTTGTTTCATCTGTTGTTGCATCTACTGCTGTACTAGACAGTTGTTCTTTGAGTTATAACTACTATCTGATTTATGGGATCTCTTAGGCACATGACACACATTAGTAAAATGGCACAATTTAGATCTGAAGAAAGTTATACCCCATCTCAAAAACTGTGCATCCTGCTATGCCAGACATGCTTCCCCCCATGCCAGACATCCTGCAGGTTAGGCATGATTTGAGACCTGAGGATGCCCTTGCCCAGCCTCATTAGTGGCTGATGTGTACTTTATGATATTTCCTCACAAGCATTTTTCAGCTAAGGCCACAGGCTCAGATGAAGTCATTTCATTAAAATCAGTGGAGGAAAAACAGCTTACTGCAGATGGGGATCTAACCAGTAGCTCAAAATATGCAAGATCTGCTTTTTTCACCTGCTTTTGTGTCCAAGACTGAGTGATCAAACAAAACATAATTCCTTACATATAAGCATATAT